CTTCCGGCATAATTGCACTCCAGTGGAATAGCTACTCCGCCATATGGTGTGGGTAAATTGATTTTCACTTTGGCTTGAGTGCAGACCAGGGTGTCGTTCGATTGCAGGCACAATGATCCGCTTTGACAGACGTCTAGATTTGTGGTCGTATTACCAACGCGGTTGTGGCACATTAACCAGGTCTCCGAGCAGAACCGCTGCAGATAGAGATCGTCAGGTGCTTGAGTACTTCGGTATTACTTAGTACTGCGTGGTTCTAGCTGCGTTCTGGAATCCGTGCGGATTCGTATCTGTGGCGCACGGTCTAAATGGCACCCAAAACAATGCGCATAATAAATATTCTTGCTTTTTGGGGTAAGGTGGTGGCTCCAGCGGTGCCAGCGATTCCAGCGGTTCCAGCGGTGGTTAGGTAGTTCGCTGGTTTTGGTGGTTTCTGGTCGGGGCTGCCAGGGGTAAACCTGTTTGCCTTATTTATGGGCAGTCAGCCAGCCAAGGCAGTAGGGAGCCCAAAATGTATCTCTTTGACTGCATGCCACCGCTACACAGCCGCACCGTTATAGCTTTTGTTTCCGCCTCCCCCCGCCCTGCTGAGTGCCACTTTTCTATTTTCTTTTCAGACAGCCGCCTGTGCACATAATTCGGTTTCATTAATAGTTCAAATAACTGCACAAGTGCCTCGACTGAACATCAAAGGCAGACACACTGAACTAAACAGTTCGCCACTTTTACGACCTCGTAAACCCCAATGCGTCTGTAATCTATTGATCTACTGACTATCATAAGGATCGGGTTGCAAACAAGTGGCGCAATGCGCATACAGGCGAAACTACCTACCAACTTTGACCATATATATAAGCCATATGTATATCTAAACCATATATATACCCTATACCATATATATGGTTATAACATATAATAAAAACTAGTTGTACGCTAAATGACTTTCTTTTTCTGACATTTTTTGCAAAGCAATTATAAAGGTATTCTACATTTTTAATGAACCTCAAGTGTTTAATGAACTCATTTCTGACTCATGGCGATAATTAAAAATACACAATTGAAGCGCTATAAAGAGGTTGATTGTAGGCAGTGTCGCCCGTACTTGCGCATTGCTATCAAACTGCTGCATTAATTTCCATTGCACAACAGGCAGGTTGACAATAAAGTTCGTAAGTACAAATAGAAAAAGTGTTGGAAACATATAAAGGCAGACCTTAAATATCAAATAATAAGCCAATGCGGCAATCGACACATGAGCACATGCAAACTCGAGGCTCCCAGACCAGATCGTGGCTATATATCCACATCCACAACCACATCCTCCACTCCACCTAGCAGCCCGGACCTCCAGTGTCCGCCTTGGCCAGTTTGCATCGCCATCGGTTTCCCACGCTAGGCTGCAGCTGCTCCGATCGCAGCGGATTGGCTTGGATTGGATCGGATAGGCTTGGATTGGATCGGAATGGATCGCTGTGGATCGGCGGTGTTGAGAATGCCCAGTTGGTGGCGGCTACCAGTATTCTAATGCAGCCGGGACACGGACGGAGATTAATTAATATTGCAACTCGTTAGGCCTTTTTCTTTTTTTTTTTTCTTTCGCACATTCATTGTTTCACAATTATTTCGCTGCATGGCGGAAATACCGAGAGCAGTTTTTCTCCTTTCAGGAACTCCATTTGCGTTTCCTTAAAAAGCTGGGCTCAACTTAATTATACCCTAATGATTGCATGACATCTCCGCATAATCATAATGTTATATGATCGCCGATGACGCGGCTCTCGTGATGAAGATGACCGTAGATCATAGAAGCGAATAAACTAAATAGGTTGAACCTAACGAATCTCCGCTAAATATCAAACACAATCTTGAGACTTTTTGCCCCTTTTGTTGTCGGTCATTTGTATACGAGTATATAAAGTTAATGTATTTTGGCTGGCCGCCAAGGTCTTTTGGCGGCAAAACGCAGACAGCGATTTATGAGAGGGGTGTTGCCTTTTATAATTTGGCCAAAGCTGATGTTGTATAATATTTGCCTTTGCTCGGAATACATGTATAATTTCATAGCCACTTATCGCCCCGCGTCGAAGATTTGTGGGGGCGTGTATACTCGCATAGCCCCTGAGAAAATGCTTTAATGTCAAGTGTGGCTCACAGAACTCGGCTTTGCTGGCATTGTTAAAGCTAAAGGCACTCGAGAAGCCCAACAAAAAACTGTGTGTATTTTCAACAAGTTTAGCTTCTTTTGCATTTTTACCTAGCGACTTGATTGCTTCTCTGTTTCGGGCACATTTCATCAAATGCTTGCTCACTCAATTAGATGTTGAAACTGAGGACGTTGCCATGGCTTGGAATTTGCCTCCGATTCGGCCACATTGAATTATGGATTGGGCAGTGAAGAGGTTTTGCATATTGAGCTTTGTTTATTGTTTGGCCACTGCCAATTGTTTCCCAGGCCAACTGAATTGTGGTGGAATCAATTATAGGATTTACTTGGGACCTTAACTTGTGGAAGCACAGAAAAAGTGAAGGAAGTAGCATAGAACTCCATGTTAATTGCTTATAGTTTAGTTTTATTTTGCTAGTCTTTAAGATGCTGTTAGGCAAATTATATATTTCTGAATAAGTGCTTAAAAACTTAAAGAGGCCAACGCGTATAATTAAATTTCACCAATGTTCTTAAAAATTATGCATGGATGCTGTAAAAAAAATAATCGTATTGCCAGTAATGGCCTTTGAAAATGCTGTTGAGCGTCTAATGAAACCCATAATTTGCTGTTGACTGATACCCTAAAAAGTCGGACTGCCTGCACAATCAGCAATCAGAAATCGCAGCCAAAACCGGTTGCCATCATTGATTCAATAAGCATTCAACTTAGCATCGATCTGCGAATCGATCGCTGATTTATATAGCTCGAATGCAACCGCGGAATGCCTGAGTGTATGAATGTTTGAATGTCTGAATGTCGGATACTTTTTTGTATAATATGCACGCAATGAATGTGCAAGCGACACGAGGCATTAATTACGTGTGATGATGACATCACCAGCACCAAGTCATCTGTCGGCTTGCAGATTTTCAATTGCATACAGTCTCGAATGTCAGATGAAAGTTGCAGTTGGCTGGTTGGTTCGTACCTGCATAATAGTTGCTGGGTTTTTAGGTTCATTTCTCTAGTTGTCTTTCGGATTCACACGCAAACGCCAAAGATGAGAAAGACTGCGAAAGCTGGGAGTATGCTGTTTTTTATGCATATTTGCGGATAGTAACACGACTTTATATAACCAACTTGCCAGTTGTGATTAGCTCAGATTGATTTGTGTTTTGACGAGTATATGTATAGTTGGGTATATACCCTCTTCGCTTAAATTTGCTGTGGCCGGGAGTCAATGAATTGCTGGTTTCTCGCTTAACACGTATACGCACCGTGTGCAGCTGCAAATTGAACGTTTAAAACCTGTCTGCGCCAAACCGCAGCAGCCACAGCCACTGCCGCAGCATTACGTAACTTTCGCTGCATCTTGCGAATTACGCTGCTGACCATGAGCAGTGGCTTTTCAGCTGAAAAGTTATCAACGCCAAAACTCTAATTGTTGCCGAATTCGGCGCAATCACGACAAACACAACTCCATGCTGACCCCAAAGCAAACGAAAAATGTAAAAAATACCCCGGCACAATAAAAGACACAGAAAATTATGATTATTATCAAAACATTGTCATCAAAAAAAAAGGGGGCTAAGAGAAAAACTAGAAACACTTGGCCGCTGGCGTTGGTTTTGAATTTCTAGCTGCCGCTGCTGTCCGTGCAACTTTTATTGGATGGCAAGCGTGCTAAGCATGGCTGGCTTTTAAACATAAACATCGCCAGCGGCGAAGACACGAAAAAATAATGCCGAAGAAAAATCACCAACTGAACAGCTCAGCAGCCCAGCTAAAACCAAAAGCAAGTTCTGTTATGCACAGTGGGTTGCATGGGGTTTTCTATTATTATTATCTTTGCCATATAGATAAGCCAAACAGCCCTTTTGAAAACGCTTTCCTTTTCATTGTTTGTCATATGATAAAATCGTTGGGTAAGGGCTTATGTCAAAGCATTTCCTCGATATGCCTATTGCCATCACGATTGTCATTTTCGGGCGAAAAGAGAAAGCAATAAATTAAATGCATATAAGCACATTAAATTTCACTCATTGATCCATTTGGTATTGGCATTTGTACTGGTCCCCCTGTTGCCTAGAGGCAATTCCACAGATTGCAGTTTGCTGCCAAATGACCAAAGTTGCTTTTCACTCGAATTTCCACCGGAATCCGTATGTGGTATCATTTTTGCTCTGTTGACAAATGACATAAGCACTCCGGCCATCGAAAGGCGAACAAACTGAACGACAAAAGACCGTATCGTGCTCATATAAGGCCAGTATAAGCCAACATTTGGCTGACACTTTCAGGGTCAACCGGTGCGTAATCAATGGAATCACCACCCACGCAGAGTCAAAAGCTGAGTTCGGTTCAACGTTTTGCGGAAATTGAAACCGAAGGTGGTTGGCAACCTTAAGATGCTCAAAGTGCAATTCCACTGCGCCAAAAAGCAAATTGTTGGCAAATAAACAAGTCGAGCGTGCACTGGAAAAATAGATATACCAAAAGTGCTCAAGATTCTAGATGAATTTTAATAGTAATTTATAAATCTGTTATCACCCAAGACCTATTGTTCCTTAGTCATTTTAGTAGAATAACATTATATATATCGCATTACAGAGTGGAAACTCTGCAAAGTCTAAGCGTTTCGCATAAATTAGCTGGCGATTTTATAGTCTTAATTAAATTCAGATGGTCTATTGATATAAGTATTGATATAAGACGTGTGTCCTTGGCTTTTCCACTCCGTATTCTCGTCTATGCATCCACACAACTTCCTCTGCATATATATAGCGATATGGGAATGTATTCCACGGCATGGTTGTGGGCAACAAAATAAATAAAATACAAAAACTGGCTTACCTTCTCTCCTCATTGTTATACAGTTGAACTGGCCGTGCTGTTGGTATTGTTTCGCTTATTTATTGTTAACGCTTTTTGCCAGCCAGTGTGACAGGTTGTTAGTTTTTGGCTGCTGTACACATTTCATTACACTTCACATGGCTGCTGCACCGAAAATCGAGAAAATAAACATTTGCAATGTATGTAGATATGAAGGGAAATATTAATGCAAATATAAAGGCGATGACATCGTCGCCGCTGTGTACGCGTGTGTGATTCTGTGTGTGTGTGTGTGGGCCAAAAACCTTTACTGGCTCTGGCCAAAATGCCAGCCAACACATTAATACTCGTACATGGGGAATGATATAATCGCCTGCTGACATGAATGAATGAATGAAAGGCGTTGCAGCTTCTCGCAAGTTGGCTCGAAGCGGTGCGAGGCGGCCCAAACACAATGGCCAATACATCGGAACTCGTCTAACTCAGCTCAAATCTTCTCGGCCTAAGCTCTGTTTTACATTTTTGTTTCGCTTTTTGCGGCGGCACAGCAAATTGCATCGCCATAATGAAATCGCCCATAATCTTGGCTAAGGCTAATAATAGCAGCAGGTTTTGGAGTTGGACAACACACAAATACACACACTTTGGCTTAGACACACACGCACACCACACACTCACACACACACACATACAGAAATGGTGAGCAAATTTGGCCAGCACTCTGTTCTTTTTTATTCTTCGGCTATTTCTCGCCAGCAGATCGGGCGTATACTTCACGCCGAAAAATTCAAATGACACTCACGTAATCCGCTAAAAATAGTTGAATTTGCTGCGCGTTATTTTTCTCAGATTTTTCGTTGGCTTTTTTGGATTGGAGTACAACTTTGTTTTGCTATTGTATTGTTTGGCAATCGCGGAGATTGCAAATGCACCGTGCTCCGGTAGAGGAAATCGAAGCGAACGCGTCGCGATCTCGGCCCAAACTGATCGCCCGAGAGTGGCGACAATGTTCCAGCACCTGTGAGTGGTCTAAACTGGTCTAAAACGCGACTCCAAACCGGTTTCGCTCTTGGCCAAGTCCCATCTCAATCTCACTACCAATTGTTCCGGCTCTTTCCCAACTATTCTCTGTCTCTCTATCTCTCTCTGTGGCTTTCTTGGCCTGGCCGTGCCGGTCTCCGCCATCTGCACTTTGCACTTTTGGCGACTGCATCTTGTTGTCAAACTGCAAAAACTGCATTTAATAACCGTTAACCGAAACTTCTGCAACACGTGCACTGCATTCACACACAGAGAAAAAAAGACTCGAAAGATGCAAGTGCTGTCTTCGTAAGCCAAAAAGTGTTTGCATCTATTCCATGATTTTTGAACCGTTTACAGCTTGAGGTACCTTGAATACTAAGTAAAATTAAGAAAACTTTTATGGGAAAATATTTAAAATATTTATTTTATTTTTAGTTAAAACATATACTGTTTAACTAGTTATTGTTTGATACAAAAAGAAGGCATTTTTTTACCCTATCTTCCAGATAATTTGTCGCATTAACTGTCAAGGAAGATATTTTCAGTGCACTGGGAGGCTAAGTGGGTGGTGGGAGGCAGTGGGGGTGGGGGTGGGAGTGAGAGCGTTACAGGGGTTGGAGGTGAGGTGCATTGGGGGCTTACTACATTAGGCCCCACTGGCTGACAGGCACCGCTTTTGGCCAGCTGCCGCACGTGACTGCGCAATGCTTTTGACTGTTGGCTGGAGCATTGGGGGTCATGTTGGCTGGGGGGCAGATGTTGGGGGCTTAATTTGCATCATGTCATTAGGATGAGTGGCATCGATAATGGGGCCAGAGGCCCAACTCTCTGGGTCACTTTGCGCCGCAAATCCCGCTATTGTGAACATTTAAGGTTGCAATTTACACGCTGCATGGTATTCAAAATAGTTAGCCATGTAAATAAATATTACATGCCATATTTTTCATACATTAACATCGGCATTTATTCCACTCGCGCTCCACGGCATTTGTGTGAAAATGTTGCGCGAAATTTTTCAACAACTTTCGCACAACTTCCGTTTGCAGTTTGCATTAGTTTATTTTCCATAAATTTCAATGGCTTTATAATTTGACGTAAAAGTAGAATAATAAACTGTCAAACATGTATTTAACTTTGATTTAAATTATCAGATGCTTGTTCCTTCCCAGCTGAATAAAAAGTGTAGCTGTTGCTTTGATTTTCTTTTGAAGCTGAGATGCGAGTATGTGAAATATTTCTTCCCTATCTGGTGGGTGTCAAATCCGCACTAATTTTTTTATTTGCTCGGCGCTGGGCGTGGCGTCCTTCAGTAAGTTTGATATCTTTGATTCTGACACGAACTGGATCCTGTGCATACTTGCATTGTCTGTTTCAGGTTTTCCTCCTGCCAGCACATTTTTCTTGTACACACATTTAGTGTGTAGGTGTATGGACTTTTTTGTGAAATTTCACTCGGTGCCTGGTAGTACGTTTTACTTTTTGTTGACTTTACGCATCAGGCGCAGCTCGAGAAGCTCTGATGTTTGTTCTTTGGCAGTGCAAGTCGTAAAAAGTTTTTTGTGTACGCTCTGTGTCCTCGGCTGGTGTCATAAAAGTTGCATAAAACTGCACAGATTTCTCAGCAGTGAGCGTCGTGAAAAAGTTTAGGATATGCCCTAAATACAATGGAAAACATCTAGATATGTATTGCATGTGTGCCCCTCTCAAAGGATCGCTTTAAAGTGACCCCTTAAATAGCAGGTCGTTCGAATCTCATGTGCTGAGAATGGCTGAAAAAGTCAGGGGAAAACGCCGGGCTCGCATGTGTCGGGATTTAATTTAGATAAAAGCTTTTCCACACTTTCACGCCAGGCCTTTGACGTGCACCAGATAATGCCTCAAATCAATTCCGTAAACATTTTTCCGGCCACAACCCTGCCAGCAAGACGACAATTTGTTTTCATACCTCTGACGTCTGGCCTGTCGTCGGGATTGATTCTAGCTTATCGGTAGATGGGAGTTTTCAGGAAAATCAATTGGCAAACATATATGTATTACCTGGAACCTGATAACGAATCTTACTCTTCTAGGAGCGATTACGTATCAATTAAAAAGGGTAGAAGTGGATCAATTTAAAGAGTTTATTTGATTTTTGCTTGTCAAACAAGAAGGTGTTTGCACACTCCCTTGGAGCGCTTCGTTACTACGCAAACTGGCGCCTAATGGATTTGAGGGTTTTCCCAAAAGCCATAATCCCATATTTACCTTTTACCACCTTCTTTCGAACCCTTTTGAATATCCAGGAATCGCACGCTGAATAAAAGACAGTTGCTAGTTAATTATTCATTGACATTTATTGATTGAATTTGATAATGTTTTTCTGCAGCATTTTGTTGAATTTACATTGAATATGTTTTAAGGGGTTTCGTCCTCGTCTTCATTCTTATTTTCCCTATCGCTTTCGTATCGATTTCGTTTTGATTTGATTTGATTAGCTGTGGCACAGACACACATTTATGTACTTAGCTATAGTTTAGAGTTTGCTGTGTTTGCTATTTAGATACATCCATTCAGATATTTTTACGGAGGGGAGCTTAGGAACCTGAATTGCGGCCCATTGGTATTTGCATTCACATTTAAAAAACTATATTCTTTACCTTTGGTTTTAGTAGTTTCCTTCAAAATATTGATATCAAGATTCGGCGGTGGATTGTTTTATAGTTCTGTCTTGGCATACAAAAAATAGTTTCAAGTCCTTTTTTGTTTTGGGTGTGGTGTGCCCTGAATAAAACGGGGAAATAAATATACGTTACCTCTTTATCATCGAAAAAATTGCAGTTTTATTTCTCAGCTGCTGGTCGCTTGTAAATGTGGCAATTAAAAGTGTTTCGTATTTGCATTTGCAATCTGTATATGTATGTAGGAGGGCTCTTTGTAGGTTTCCTTGTATTCTGTAACTAGCACAACAATTGCACATTCAAATATGTATATATATATATAGTTCTAGTATAGGTTTATGCTTGTTTTGGCCTTGATTTTCCACAGTTTCAGTTGCTTGTTGGGTTTGTTGCGGTTGGGAAATGCGTTTGGTCTCATTGTTTGGCCAATTTTCGCATTCTTCTAACAGTTTCGCTTCAAAATAAATTGTACAATTGTTTAAAATTATCCTACTCTGCCTGCTTCGCATATTTTTCACTTGTTTTTTATGTTAGATAGTGCTAGTAACATGAATAATTTAATTTGATTTCATTTCATTTGTTCTTTCTCGATCGCTTGTGTGTTTGAATTTGTCTATTAGTTATAGGAAACTATCATAGGTACACATATCAACACAGTAGTTATGGTTGGCTAGTACAACAAACCCTGGCCTACATTTATTTATTTATCCAATTAACTATGTGTCTCCTTACTAGTTTTGCTGCACATGCATTCTGGAAGATAGCAGTTTGAAGTGGGGAGTTTTGGAAAATAACGAGTGCCCTTTTGGAAGATACTGAGTGAAATGGGAGTTCTTAGAGGAAATTATGATCGTACAGCGTTGACTCTACTTCGATGTTTCATATCTTTTCGGGATCCTAACTTCCCTGCCTCCGGGATTGTCACTAATCACTGTCGATGTCTTGGCGATGGCAGACTAAATAATTTTAGAAAAAACCCAATCAAAAACATAATTTTGTAGTTTAAGAGTGTGAAAGACTGTGCAGGGATGAGAAACCAAAGAATTATCTTACAAACTAAATACTTGATTACCGATTAGTTTTGTATCCATTTATCTATATATACTCGTATATTTAGGTATATTATCTTTGCATAATACTCCATTTACTTGTAATTAACAATCATGAAATTTCTTTGCACATCTCTTTAGTTAAGTGTAAATATTAAAAATAGTTGTAATTTGACTTGGATTTTCATCTTTGTTGTGCAGCTTTTAGTAGTTTAGTTTTTATCTTCTGTTTAACCCACTTAAATTGTCCTCAGCCACGCCCACTGCCTCCCTAGCGACAGGTATAAAAAGTTCTTGTTACAGTTTACAGTTTACAGTTTACAATTTAGAGTTACACAATTTCAACAATTTCCTCAATTATTCATAATACACACCGCTAACCAACCGCGTGCATATGTTTTAAGTTCCTTCGTGTTTCATCATAGAGACCGTTGTATATAGTACAAAATTTACAATAGAAGCGAGACCTTCTGGATGGGTTAAACTAATTGGGGAATGGGGGTCTTTTGGTGGAGAGTGGATCCATAAAAGTGGGGGAAAGCCCTAAGTTGTGTATAAGCAAAAGAGCTGAAGGCTGCCTCTCTGGGGACAAGCGCGTGTCTAATAAATTTATACAAAATCTGTGCTCAGAAAATAGTTTACAAATATACTTTAGACTTAGTTACACTGTCCTTTGGGCGTGATATAAAATGTACAAATCATGTACACATCTCATATCTGATATCTCATATTTATGTTTATTCATATTGTAAATAGCTTTCTCCTGTCTGTGTGCGTGTGAATATACTTCGTGTCTTGTGTTTCTTTTGGGGGGTTTCAAAGAAGCTCAGAGTTACGCGGTTTTTGATTGTTTCTTGGCTTATGGTAGAAAATATGCTGAATTGTGGCTTGTATGATAAGGTATACTTGTTGCTGATATATCGTATTGTTTAAATTGACCCAAAAAGTGTTTCAGTGTACTAGTGATATTTTGCGAGTTTTTAACAATGTATATACTATATAGTGTTTTTTTTTTTTGGTAAAAGTCTTCAAAACGCATCTGGGTGCTGGAGTAGATAGCTCGAGTTTTTGTGTGTTTCGTATATGAGATTTTGCTGTAGATAACTTTTGTTTGATTGCCAATTTTGTGGCAATTTCAGCAATGCTAGGCTTCTAATAAGTCCCTAATTTGAGTTACAATTTATCCATAATTTTGTTCAAGCAACTTTTTGTGTAGAGCCGGGAAGCTAGGTTCCCCATTTTTTAGTCACTTTTGCACCATTTGAATTTCGATTCCTTGCTAAC